AACTCTCTCTGAATAGAAAGTATGTTCGACCGTCTCTACATCGGCTTGAAACCAGCGTCACTCTGATTCACAGAACCGTCTCTAACAAAAAAAACCTTTTCTTTTGCTCCTTTCCGGAATAAGACAAGGCTTGAGAATACCTGAAAGCGGGGCTGGATTGAATCCTGAGAAGAAAGTAGTAAGGTAAGGACGGTCAGTTCAAAAGCAAGCTTAGACCTATCTTTTCAGACCTTCATTGAATCCATCCTCGCTCTACAGCTCTCCAACTGCCCCCAGAACGACCGGGACGATTTTATTTAAAATAATTTTTAATGTAACAAAATTTGTTTAGAAAATCGTATCGATCCTACCAGTCCAACATACTGATGTTGACGAATTCGATAGCAAATATTTTATTCAAGCTCAATAGACTGGTTATAAACCGGTTCTCGGTCCATTCGGTCGGACTGTGTCCAACTCGATTTAATTTAAAAATAATGGATAAATCATGATTAATGTTATTTATTTATTTAATTTATAATACAATCAAAATATTGTTTTCCCGTGCATCGCACGGGCCACGCACTAGTCCTAATTATTATATTTTAAATGATGTATATGATTCTCTACCATAAACCACTGGCTCAAGTGGTGATAATCTTTAAGATTTTTTACCGCAACAAATTTCTATGGTATCTCTAAAATAACTAAATAATCGTTATGGCGATAGTTTTTTCTCTTAATTCTCTCCACTATTTTACACTTTATCTGTCGATGATCCTAAGCAAAATAAGTATGTTTGCACTACCTATTCTGTTTTTACAATTTGAGTCAACTCCCCATTATTTGTTCTTTGAGTTCCTTGTCAGATAAAACTATTTGTTATCTCATACTGCATTTAATAATGTCTCTATGAAACTAAAAATTCCTCAAAGCCATACTCAATTTTCTTACAAATGTCTTCAGAAATTACGTCTCGCTGGAATCGCACCGATGTCGGAGTTATTGCCGTTGTATCGTCTGAACTTGTAATAATTCCAAAATTTACCAAAATGTCACCACACTACATTATTCACAATAATTTTTAACGAAATGCACATTAATACATATGAAAATGTACAATATGGAAATATTATATTTTGGCGAAATGGCGAAAATGTCACTGCGTGAAAATATAAAAGTACTCTTAATTATAGGAATGTCAGTGCGCATTTGACCAAAGTTGGAGCGTTTGACGAAATTAGAATTATTGTATACTCAAAGGGTATAATTTATTTTTATTTCTTTCACTTTATGTTATTCTATTAATTTGATCAGATTCCTTTATACATATCTATATATATATATACTAGTACAAAACTCGTGCGATGCAAAACATTGAAAACCGATTTGGAAAATAAAATAACAAACTATCGGTGGCGGATCCATATGGAATATTGGCATGGATCGATATAATAATAAAAAAATTTCATAAGGTATAATTTTTAATCTAAAAAGCAAGTGAATTAATTAATAATATCGTGCTTAACATAATTGAAAATCAGGAATTAAAAATATCATACGAACATGATATGTGAAATCTCACAAACTAAGTGGCGAAATTTGATATGTTATTGAAATAAAATTCTCATGAATTGTGGCTTGTTTTATTGTTAATATTTGTATGGTCACATGTCGTTCACTACTAGAATATGAATCATCAAGAACAAAAAATTCCGTTGGTTAAAGTTTATTTTCCGTTGCTAATAAATAATAGGAACAAAAAAAATCCGTTTCATTATTGGTTAGTGAAAACAAGGGTTCTGATGCTCAGAGACGGATTCCGTTCCGTTGCTATCAGTAACGGCTTTTATAACAAGCAAGCCGTTTCTAGTCTTCGAGAAATAGCAACCAAATTAGAAACGAGACTATTTGTTACTAATTAATGAGTAATAGAAACCAAATTAGAAACGAGACTATTTGTTCCTAATTGTTCATTATTAGAAACTAAATTAGAAACGGGAATATTTGTTCCTAATTATTCATTAATAGAAACCAAATTAGAAACGAGATTATTTGTTCCTAATTATTCAGTAATAGAAACTAAATTAGAAACTAGATTATTTGTTCCTAACTAATCAGCAATAGAAACCAAATTAAAAATGGATTGTTTTGTTCTTAACATCTTAATATTAGTGACAATTACAATATAATGGCATCTTCTATTTTTTATTGTTGCATTCAGTAAAATTGTTTTGTATCAAATGAATTCATTAATACCACTGAAAATAAGCAAGTAAGATTAAAGAAAAATAAAATAAAATACAATTATTTTATTTCGTCAATACAATAATAAAAAATTCAATTGATAAAACATCAAAGTACAATTAATACAAACTACTAATTATTTTATCCTCAAATAAACTGGGAAGTAATATTTTTAACATTTCATGATTATGCCCCAATAGAACTCGCTGAGCCTTCTCTCGTTCTTGTGCCGCAGAGATGAACCCGTCATACATTGGCAGCTTGTTCAAGTCAAGATACCATAATGTTTCCTGAGTCGCTGATATGAACCCTTCATATGTTGATAGCTTATTCAAGTCCAGCTGCAATATCGATGCCTTCTCTTTAGTGTTACATTCTTGTGTCTGTAGATAAGAATCAAATTATTCGTCGTATCATATATTGGTGAAAAGAAGAAAAAATAAAATAAAATTTGCAGTGTTACATTCTTGTGTGTAGATAAGAATTGGTGAAAAGAAGAAAAAATAAAATAAAATTTGCAGTGTTACATTCTTGTGTGTGTAGATAAGAATCAAATTATTCGTCGTATCATATATTTGTGAAAAGAAGAAAAAATAAAATAAAATTTGCACTTACAGACTCTGGCGGATAATTCAAATCCCATCCTATTGTTTGACGTTTCACTCCCATAGAAGTATGTCTGCCAGATAAATGTATGAGTGTAATACTCAAAATGTAATTGCGTTCAGGAGGTAATAAGATGATTCAGTAGTAGTTGCGTTCAGGAGGTAAGATGATTTGGAGTTTGTAGAAGAGTTTGGAGTTCTGTAGTTAGAGAAGAGTGTTTTAGACGTGGTTAGTAACGTGGTCAGTTAATTTAATATAGGATGGGGTAGTTATTATACTTGAACGCGTGGGTTAACCTATTTATTAATCCCAACTCAATATTTATTAATTAACTACATCTCCCTATTTATTATTAAGTTAACCTATTTATTAATTACTACTCAATATTTATTAATTAATTACAACTTTCTATTTATTAACCTAACATATTGTGCAATTCAATAATTATTTATTAACTTTACGTTTATAACTTTTTCTTAAAAAATAAATTATAAAAGTTAGCCTACCATATTTCAATTTAATTAGTTATCATACTTACAATATTTTATTTTAATATTATTAATATAACTGTAAATTGTATAAGGAAATACAAACCAAAACAAAATATGCTATAAGAAAATGAGTATCATATAGATGGTCGACACATAGGATTAAAATATATCTTAGTCCATAGAGAAAAGTTGTAGAAGAAACTAAATCATTAACTAAAAGATTTAAGAAAATTAAATATTCCATATAGAAAAATTGTAAATGATTATTAATTAAAAGATCTAGGAAAACTAAATATTCCATAAATAAAAATTGCAAATGAAATTAAATCTTTTACTAAAAGATGTAGAAAAACTAAATAATTCAAATAAAAAATATATGTACCAAACTAAAAGCCAAAAATGACTAACCAGTCCGACATTTTCTTGAAGCAAAAATATAATTTAAGAAAATGTATAATCAAGAAACATTATTTCAAGACATTTTCATGAAGTGCTACTCTTTTAATGCCAATCTATAATTTCTTGTTTCTGATGCATAATAATAATTCTGGACAATTTATTAGCTTTATGCTTGCTGAATTTATTATTCTGTTCAGAAAAGGGAATTTTTAGACTTACAGAACGGAAAATAAATCCAATCGAGAAAGAAGAATTCCTTTTGAATTTTGGCGAGCAGCCGATCTTAAGGGACCAGAGATGTTAGCCGCCGTGCCCGAGATACCGGAGAAGATGAACTGGAAAATTTGTCGCCGGCGCTCGTGGGATGTAATGATCGCAAGTTTGGGAAACGGAGGTGAATTGGTAAATTGAGAGTTAGGGATTTTGGGGTCCTGAGAGTGTGAAATGAGAGTACGAAAAATTAACACTAATAATTCAGTTGATTTAGTAAATTGAGAGTTAGGGACTTTGGGGTGCTAATAGAGTAAAATGGGAGTACGTAAATTCAACACTAATAATTTTGATGCCATTCAGTTCTAACCGAACTAGCTTCATGGAGAAGTACTGACACCAAATTGAGTGATTTTCAATAAATTATTATCGGTTACCGTTATAAATTAATCGGTATGTTGTTGTTTATTTTCTCATAGGTTCGGTTCGATTTTTCAATTTTTAGTAAAAAGATACCACTCCTATTATTATTGAATTATATATATGTTAATATAATATAAATATAAACAAAAAAGAGGGTGAGACTGGGGTGGTCAGACATGGGCGGGCTAGGCCGGTGAAGGATTTAAGACCCGTACCAGGCAATGAAATATTTTACAATTATTTGATTAGCACAAGATGTTCATTCGAACTCATTTAAGCTCGAATATAAAAATTAAAAAAAAATCATATTTTAGAGTTTTTATTAAAAAATATTATATATATAAACATAAATAAAAATTGTATAGAATTAATGTTTAGTGAACGTTTGCGAACAAGCTGGAGTTTGTTCAATTATTAAACGAACATAGTTATATATGTAGAATATGCTACAATTTTAAATCTTTAAATTGAAACCATTTATATGTATTTGTAACAAAGGGAGTTAGTCACAGAATTAGTTACTAATACAAATACAATGGTTTAAAGTACATTCCGTTTCTGAAAGTATATTCCGTATCTAAATCATTGTTACTATTGTAACAACTAAAATTTAGTTACAAATTTTGGTTACTGATGCACCATTTTCTAGTAGTGGTTGCACGGTGTGTAGGGCGCAAAAGATAGTTCCTCGTTAGCCAGATCATAAGCCACCAATGTGTCCTGCTGCTGAAAACTGCCGAAAATGGATAAGGGCGAATCAGTAGCAGCCATCATGAAGCACACCATCCTCTTATCCTTTACAGTTAAGAAGTAGTTTCGCGACGGCAACTCCAGGGGTCCCCCCTCGAATCCCAGCACGATCTCCGGAAACTGAATTCCCTCCGCGTCCGCGTGGCCTCTCGGGAGTTTGTAGCACAATTCCAAGTCCCCATCGGTCGGTTGAAGTCCGATTTGGCAGGTGAGTTCCTTGCCGACGGCCTCGAACGTGCTCTTCTCGAGTTGCGTGATGGCTGTTCCCGAGTCGATGACCAGACCACCCGACCCATCCTTGAACGCGGAGGAGTTGACGTTGATGTGGGCCCCATTGATGCTGATCCACTGGAGACGGACATAGTAAAGGCCGCCGCCGCGAACGCCTGGATGCCTGAGAAGCGGCGTGGTGAATGCGCCCGCGCCCACGCGGGCCCCAGAACCCATAAGAAGACGGCCGGTCCCGTTGGCGCCGAACGTGGGCAGACAGTAGGAGAACGTGCCCACGCCGAGTTGGGAGACAATGCTGTCGTTCCATCGGCCCAGGCCCAAGACCCCCGCGCCTCCAGATAGTACATCCCCGTAACTGTGAAATCCGCAGCCGAATAGGACTCTGGGGACGCGGAGGCCCTCGAACCAGAGGGTCTCGGTCGCCAGTTCGCCTCGGGTCCCGCGGCCATCTCCGTACGTGCGGTTGTATGTGCACTTGGCGTCAGGCGGACGTTTGTCGCAGCCATCGGACTTGTACAGTTTGCACTTCTTGTTCGGGCATTTTAACGCGGCGTACGACGTGGACGTCGTACGGTTGAATAAGGGAGTCGGCTGTGCGGAGCAGTTGTTGCAGGGTGCGCACTGGGTCCACGTTAGGTCGCTGGCCGTGTCGATTATGGCCGGGAAAGGTCTCGGCGGAGTGCCGATGAAGAGATATGCTAAATACTCGCCTTCGCCACTATAGCCAGTGAGGGCTTCAACGTCAATGGGGCTTCTATGTGTGGCGGCTTCTTGGAGCCAATGCAGCCTCTTCCTACTTCGGTTGAGAGCCAGCCGCAGGAGCTCGGTTGTGTTGAGCTGTTTGTCGTGATCGACGTGCTTTACCATAGTGTTGAAGTTGAACTCCATTGTTTTTGTTTTTGTTTTTGTTGGGGAAGCTAATATTAATAATGAAGCTAGAATATTGAGGGCAGTTACAAGTAAAGTTGTTGTTAAGTATGTCATTGTTGGGTGATGTTAGTGATGGCTATAATTAATTATCTGGGTAAGAGTATGAATATGATGATGTTCTGGAATCTGAAGAGTGAATGAGTAAATTCGGGTGGATGGGTGATGATGGTGAATAAAAACTCTCCATATGTGAAGCTACACCCAAGAAAACTTTATCTTGTCATTTTTTATTTAGGGATTAATGCAATTTCTTCTTTAAGAATAAAAGTTGCTTTTGACACAATCACATATAGCCACATGATCATTCGTATTCAAAGAATATTGTTGAGTTTAGCCACTAAAAATATCCATGGGATTCTTAAGGCGTGCTTGCTGACAAGTAATCCGCTTAAAATGATATTTTTTAATTAAGATTAATTTTGAAAAAATGTGGGATGATTAGTTGTTATTAATATTTTAAATTTATATTAAAATAATATTTATAATAAAATAGTTATGGTTGATTTGAGCTAAAAGTAGAAGATATATGATGTGAAGTGATGATTAGTTAAAATTATGTGAGTGGGTGAATAGGAAAAATAAAAAATTAAATTGCAAAGTATCTTAAGCAAAAATTCAATTTTAGTCCGCCAACTTGTCAATTGTTCACTTTTAGTACGCTATCTTTCCACTCATCAAAAATTGTCCATTATGTTATACTTTTCATCAGTTTTAGTACACTAATCCCGCGGCCGGGGATTACGAGATGCCAAATCAGGTATTTATCCTACCACGTCAATATCTTATCCCTCCACGTAGTTTCAATCCCGGTCCACGTCATCTTGTAATCCCGGCAACTGGAGTAGCGTACTAAAACTGATGAAAAATGTAACATAATGGACCATTTTTTATGAGGGGAAAAATAGTGTACCAAAAATGGACAATGAACAAATTAGCGTACTAAAGTTGGATTTTTGTCAAAAACTCTCCATCATCAAAATTTTATCTTGTCATTGTTTTATGTAGGGATTAATTACATGTTTCCATGTTTCCACGACTAAAAAGTACTTATATTTACTTGTTTCCATGTTTTGTCTCCATGTTTTGTTAGGATTTGTAATCTAAACCTCACCTTTTGAAAAATACTAGTACAGAGCCCGTGCTATGCACGGGATGCATAATTTTAAGGCTATTTATCCAGGTTTATAATTATATATATGAATAAAGAAAAATGTACAGGATATATATAGTACGTGACCCGTGCGAAGCACGGCATATATTTATTTGGAGAATATTATATTATAAGATGCATTATTCAATAAAAGTTTATAATACGCAAGAAAATTGTACAATGTTCAGTAAGAGATTTATAATATTCAAGTGGAGTCTTAAAGTCTCTTGTACATTAACACTACTGACAAAATAATATTTTAATCAATGAGTTTCCTTTCCTTGTAGCCAAATTATGAATGTAATTTGAGGAGTACAAAAAATCGATATATAGCTGACTTGCCTTTTTCATTGTAATTTTTTTTTTTTTATAATGAATTTAAAGATATTCTAAAATATAGCAAAAATTAATTTTTTTTATTACAATTAGGAATTTTACTAAATATAAACTCTCAATCTATGGTGTTAATCAACGTTTAAGTCTAAAAAATTAGGAATTTTTACCTCTTTTAATCAACGTTTAAGTCTAAAAAACAATAGAGTTATTATAAGTTTTTTTTCTACATCTTTTAAAACATTAAATATGAGCATGTTAGGGCTAGCTTGTAAAATAATTAATATATTATCTCACTAAAACATTTATACTAATAAAAATTTAATTTTAGCATATAAATTTATCCCTTGATATAAGAGAAAGTAACAGTTTTACTTATTGTTGTTCACCATATAATATTTAATTATTATTTTATTATATAATAAAAAAAGAATATTGTTAAATAGTGTAGTAGAATTTTTATAAAATTATATGATTTTTTTTTTACAATATGGATTTAATATTTTTTTATGATTTGATAATATAAACAAACTATACTTAACTTTGACAAATAAAACAAATAAATACTTTAGTAAGTATTTAATTTATATACTAAATAGGAATATATTTAGTATAATCAAATACCAAATATAATCAAATAAGTCAAAGTGTACATTTTTATTTGGTATTTGATTTTTTTATTATTAAATTCTTTTTATTATACTTACCTTTTTAAAATAATACAAATAAATAAATCAATTAAATAAATAAAATTTAATAATACCAAAATAGTAATGACATTTAATGCAGTTGACTTTTCTAGATAGTAAATGTAGTAAATAGAATCTCCTTTTATATAAGTATAGATTGTATAATACGGAAATAGTAATGCAATAAATGCTGTTAACTTTTCTGGCTACTTAATTTGGTAAATAGGACTCCCTTTATTATAAGTACTAGTACAGAGCCCGTGCGATGCACGGGGTGCACAATTTTAAGGCTATTTATCTAGGCTTATAATTATATACATGAATAAAGAAAAATGTACGGGATATATATAGTACGTGACCCGTGCAAAGCACGGGATATATTTATTTGGAGAATATTATATTATAAATTAATGCAATATTCAATAAAAGTTTATAATACGCAAGAAAATTGTACAATGTTCAATAAAAGTTTTATAATATTCAAGTGGAGTCTTAAAGTCTCTTGTACATTATGACTACTTCAAAATAATATTTTAATTAATGAGTTTCCTTTCCTTGTAGCCAAATTGTGAATCTGATTTGAGGAGTACAACAAATCGATATATAGCTGACTTGCTTTTTTCATTGTAGTTTTTTTTATTATGAATTTAAAGATATTCTAAAATATAGAAAAAATGAATTATTTTATTACAATTAGGAATTTTACTAAATATAGACTCTCAATCTATGGTGTTAATCAACGTTTATGTCTAAAACATTAGGAATTTTTACCTCTTTTAATCAACGTTTAAGTCTAAAAAAATAATAGAGTTATTATAAGTTTTTTTCTACATCTTTTAAAACATTAAATATGAGCATGTTAGAGCTAGCTTGTAAAATAATTAATATATTATTTCACTAAAACATTTATACTAATAAAAATTTAATTGTAGCATATAAATTTATCCCTTGATATAAGAGAAAGTAACAGTTTTACTTATTGTTGTTCACCATATAATATTTAATTATTATTTTAATATATAATAAAAAAAAGAATATTGTTAAATAGTGTAGTAGAATTGTTATAAAATTATATGATTTTTTTTTTACAATATGGATTTAATATTTTTTATGATTTAATAATATAAACAAATCTATACTTAACTTTGACAAATAAAATAAATAAATACTTTAGTAAGTATTAATGTATATACTAAATAGGAATATATTTGGTATAATCAAATACCAAATATAATCACATAAGTCAAAGTGTACATTTTTATTTGGTATTTGATTTTTTTATTATAAAAATCTTTTTATTATACTTACCTTTTTAAAATAAAAATAAATAAATAAATCAATTAAATAAATAAAATATTATAATACCAAAATAGTAATGACATTTAATGCAATTGACTTTTCTGGATAGTAAATGTAGTAAATAGAATCTCCTTTTATATACGTATAGATATGATATTATATTATGTCGCTCAAAATAGTAATGCATTTATTGCATTGACTTTTCAACTTACTAAATTTCGTAAATGGTACACCTTATTATATAAGTATAGATAGATTAAAAAATATGTCTATTTGTACTCTAATGCCTCACCTTTTTAAAAATATTAAAAAATGTGCCATAAAGACATAAATTTACTAGTACGTAACCCGTGCGATGCACGGGATGTAAAATTTGGAAGAATAATATAATCTCACGTGCATTAGGATCGAAATTGAAATCATTAAAATACATAGGAACATTGTTGAATCATAAAAAGTTCGGTAACAATCATATATTATTAAAACCTCCTTATACACAACATTATGCGTTTGCTTATTTGGTAACTCCTCATTATCACAAACTAATATTTTCAAAAGAGACAAATCCTAAAAATCAAACTAATATTTTTGGTGAACAAACTAATATTTTAGGATTTGTGAACAAACTAATATTTTAGGATTTCTAGGATTTGTCTCTTTTTGGTGAATAAACTAATATTTTAGGATTTGTGAACAAACAATCCGGTAACTTGTATAATGAAATCCAAATCTTAAGCCGAAATATTTAAAAAAAGAGTTTTTAAAAATTGAAAAGTCAAGGCAATCAGTTCAAATTAATTAAAGCTCAAAGAATATCCGCTCTTTGAAATAAAGACGTGTGTTATCATTAACCAAATATCCGGTTATTGATATAGAGTGGTTACCAAAAAATAGAACGCGATAAGGACGCTTCATGGAAATATCAATGGGATAAGATCATAACAGATCGCTATACATTTTAACGATAAAAGCTCAGATGGAATGATTTATGATAATTATGTCGTAATTAATGAATTAATTAGATGTGTGAAAAGGACATAATTAATGAAAAGTGTGAAAAGGACATAATTAATGAGAAGTGTGAAAAGGACGAAAACTTACCAGTTTTAGAAAATATTTAATGCAAATCCGACATTGACCATAATTTGACCTACTATTTTGGATAAATGTTAATTCTTATTTTATAAGTATAGATTCTTAAAATTTTATTTATGTTTTTAACTTTATTTTCAAATGTTGGGATTTGAGAATCCAACAATATTATGGGATATATTCATTGTTTTTATTCTAGATAATAAGAAATGTAACAATGTAGATTCGATTTTCATTTTGGAGATTTTTAAGTAATTCTAAATATTATAATTTATCTCTTAAATCTAAGATATTTCGAAATTAGTTATTTGGAAGCTTAGTATTATGAGAATTTCAAAATTTAATTCTATTTTTGTTTTGTTTAATATGTGTTCAAAAAATTTAAATTCGGATGT